CACCACTTAGAACTGCTTGCACACAGTTTTACTGTGGCAGTAATTCACCTTGATCTAAAGCTTGTGTAAGAAACCAGAACAGTAAACAAAATTTCCAAGCAGAAGCCATGGATTAAGTTGAGCTGTTGCTTCAGACCATTTTTAAATGACTTAAGAGTTTTAAATACCATCAAGAACATGCACCCGCATTTCTAGGAAGCAATAGAATAAGAATCAATTAAGCATGAATATGTTTTGCAAAAAGTGAAGTAACAAAAGAAGTAGACTTCATTGAGAGGACTGAATCTTTTGCATGATTTTTCTCTTATAAACATAATTCAACTTCTAGACAGTTGTCCTGTTCCCTAACTTGTATCCCAAATATAAAAACTATATTGATAGAGGTTTTCTACATACATGTAAATATATATTCACACATAAAACAAAATATATCACCAGATTTTATATAGCTGTACACAGCTAATATAAACAGTTACATTACATACATTTCAAACAAGTGCCTACTTTGTTAAGGACAGCAGTTACTGATTATGTGAAGTCAAACTTCATACACCTATACAGTTTGTTTACAAAAAGTGTGCAAGTTTGGCTCATAGAGAACAAATATATTTTGTTTGACTCAGTATGTCGCCTTCTTGTCTAGGCAGGAAAAAAAAAGCTGAGAGCAATGCTGTAATCCTTTCAGAATAAAATGTTTAAATACAAACATGATTGCCATTGTAGACTGTTTAATTTAGAGAGATTGTATTTCAGTTCTGGCTTTGAGAGGTTTGCTGATTTGACTATAGAGACTACTTCAATGCTTATCTTAATTGTTTAGATAAGATTTGTTTGAATTTGGCAGGTAAAAAAAACATGGGTGTGGGATATAGGAAGGTTGAGAGAAGACTGGCATTTTACCAGATACTGCGTATTTTAAACTACAGTGCACAGAGGAGCAAACAGTCTCAATGAACCTGCCAGGGGCTGCTCATCGCAGAGTGAGACTGAGTGGCAGGATTCAAGATTTTCTACAAACTGAAAAGGATTATTATGATAACTCCCAAAACACTACTGAAGGCTTAACATAGTATACAACTGCTAATTATATAATACACATTTAAATAAGTTTAAAAATATATAATTGTGCTTTATGATTATAGTAGGGGGTTGTTCACTCGGTTCCTGACCCTTAAATGTATTTTTAGTGTTTCAAGAACAAGACTTCAATATAAAATAAATATTGGCATAAAGGTAAATTTTATATGTAAGAATTTATTTTACAGAAAATATAATTATTGCTTTAAAAAATCCCAATGCCCTGTGGCTTTTATTTCAGTATCAGTTTGTACTAAATTTTTTCACTTTCTGCTTAAGGTAGTACAGCATACCACAGGCATTTCATTTAGATGTTCTCAAAAGAAAGACAGTCATACCTGTCAAGTATATATTTTTTGTGGGCAGACTACTAGAACATGATATCTGAGGAATATACTTTGGGGATGTTTATGTGTCAGTTTGTATTTACACTGCATGTTATAAAAACAAACTGCACAAACACATCAGCTGCAAAAGCATGTATGCAGTAGGTCTGGCATTGTGTATCAATCTGTCTGAAGACAGACATGATTTGTAGCTTTAAATTCATTTTTCAGGCGACATATAATTTGGGTTTCCTGTGCGATAAACTGTTCTTTTAGATCCATACAGGCTCTAATGCCTTTCAATCTTGGTTTCAATGGCTTTAAGACCAGGCTAATTTTACCAGTGATTGTGTAACTGGAAGAAATTAGTAAGACTTACTTGGAATGCAAATGAGGCTTCAGGCTTCAAACTAATTGAGACTTTGAATTACATGTGAATTTTTTTTCAGAATTCAAATTTGCTCATCCAAATGTCAAATTCCACCTCATCTATTTCTATAAGAATAGCTCACAGCAAACAGTCACCTCTAACACTGAAAAGTGCAGCCCATAAACAGAGACATGCTTTTTATTTCTTGCTTTAGGGAGCTCATTATAAATTATAAATTTAAACAAAATGCAGGAGAAGGAAGAAGAAGAAATTTATCTGGAACCATCCACTAGTGAACTGCTGTATTTGATCAAGTTATCAGGGCAGATACCTAAGACGCTTTCTTTTTTCCAAATAGTAGATTCTCTGCAGTAAGAAGCTAACTTGGGATCTTAGCTTTTTTTCTCTCGGTTTACCCATAGCTAGTGCATAGTTAATGGAGCTCCTGGTGTGTCTGGTTAGCAATGTAGAATACTTACATTATATTATTTATCAACACTAAATGAGCTAATAACTGCCCAGCTCATAGATCTGAAAATGTACTTGCTCTTGAAACATTACCACAAAGGAGAGAGTATCTTAGGCTTTCATAGGACTCTGCTCCCAGCTTACTGCAAATATCCTTATCAACACTGAAAAGAAAGATATTAAAAATAGTGATTAATCCTCAATGAAATCCAGGTGGCAATGGTAATGGGAGAGCTGCTCTCTGCTGAGCAGCCCAAAACTCACTCAAAGAACTGCTTTGATTGCACTGTCTGTAATCACGATCAATGAGTAATCTAAAACTCTCAAGGAGTGGCTAGAAGCTAAAGCAAGTTTTGAACTAGAGCTGGAACCAGTGCAGTATCAGAACGACCCACAAAGGAGACAGCAGAATAACCTCAGAATTTTTCTTTCTATTGAATTGTTTGATCTATTTAACTTACAAACTTAAGAAGCTACATGATTACATATCTGCATGACAAGATACCTGAAAGTAGACGACTCTGTAATTTCACAGACCAAAAGCATGAAAGAATGAAGGGTATCTGTAAATTAATCTGGCAAATTCACTATGGAAAACATATTTAAAGTGCTAAAAGTGAGAGAAATCAACCTTTTGAACAATGTTTCATAGGATATGACTTCTCCATCACTTAAAGTATTTCTATGAAATCCTAGACTCACCAAAACCAACTGCAAAACTTTCTGCAACTTCAAAGAAAGCAAAAGGTTGAAGGGTCAGATTTTCAGCTGGAACTCAAGATCATTTACACTGCTAAAATGTTCATATTTATAAAGACTAACAGCTTGAGGCAGAAATTAGCAGGCAATATTACATAACTTGCCTTATTTAGCAGCCAGACCAAATGCTTAGAATGCTCTTTCTAAAATCCTAGACTTGAGCGGCATGTCTGCCCTTTGCTAGGTCTCTCTAAAATTCTCTACCATTCTTCTGTAACATCAGCAAGCTTAAATCATTTTACACATACTACATGGAATGTTGTTACTGTTTGGTGATTTACAACAGAAAGTACTGCAAGTTCTTTTAGCCACGAATATACCTATTATCATTCAGAAACAAGTTTTCGCTATTTATGGTTTCAACAAGCCAGATGTGTGTGATATCACTACCCACACAAGCAGAATTAGGAAGCACTGTGTGGAAACATACAGGGTTTCAACCATTATGCAAAGCAGGTCCTCCTTTGCCTATAATTGCTGTACAAGCAACAGCTTCAGTCACAACCCAAAATGCAAATTTTCTTGGTCAATAACTACGGAAACAAAACACTTGAGAGGTTTCCTCTCAAATCGAAATTTCCCTTTCCTTCTGTCAAATGGTGGAAGTATCTCACTGAAAAAAATTTACATACTTTCAATTTATTCTCCAAATAAAATTAAAGGGGTTTTTTTGGCACTGCAGAGAGCATATTATTGTCGCCTCGTATTCTACATGTCTGCCCTGTCTGATGTCTGGATAAACACACCAGGGATTTCATCGTATTAAGCCACGTTAAGCCTTTCACCAAATATTCTGAAGTTAGAGTACTAAGGAGCTACAGATGCTAAGAAAGTGATGTAATGATCTTGTGATCTTGTGACACCATGTTGTAAGTGTGGTGGGATTATGAAAATAATGCAAAAAGATTTTTGGCTAGGTACATGACAGATGACACAGCTTTACTAATTCAAATCACAATACTGTGATAGCTGAGTGCAGATGGATGCCAGTGTTTGGTTTAAGTTCCATCTTTTTCACACTCCAAAGTATTTCTCAAAAGCTGGTATTAATTCAAGGAAATAAAAGCTGGGATAACAACAAAAACCAAATGCCCATGTATGCAGAAAACCAAAATATATACATTAAAAAAAAAAAAAACCCTTAAAGTTATTTGGAACCTCATATGTACGTTTATTACAGTATAATGACTAGCTTTGGCCTACTGACTTTAAGATTAGGGCATGCACTCGATATTGTTTCAGCTCAGTAACACTGAGCTGTGTTTTGTGTCTAGGAAGCAAAAGCAATTGCGACTTCCCTAACAGAAAACACACTACACTGAAACAGAACTTCACACCCATTGCTTGGGGAAGTTTCATGTGAAACAGCAAAACAACAGAAATTAACCTGATCTTTCACTGCCAATGGATAACAACAAAGCAAGAGAAAGATGAGAAGGAGGAGAAATCCAGGTATCTCATAAAGTGACAGGTACAGGAACACCAACACACGGACTGCAGCATGGGGAGCAGTGGGCACTCAAGACTAAGCAAAAAACCATTATTTCCCCGGCACTCTTCCTTACCCCCCCCCCCCCCCCCCCCCCCCCCCCGGCGGGGCCCGCAAAAAAAAAAAAACCCCCCCCCCCCCCCCCCCACCATGGATGAGGCAGGGACACAGCAAAAAAGCCACTCTACCATCTTCGAATCACACTCTTCCTTGCACCCGGAACACCTGTCTAGAGGAGCTTTTCCCTGCGTGAGGACCGTGCCGAGCGGCAGTGGAGCCGCAGGCTCCAGCGCCCTGCCCGGCCGGGCGCCTCCCGGATACTGCGGCGGCGGCTCCGCTCTGCCGGGCCGGGCCGGCTCTCCCGGGAAGGGTGGCCGAGCTCCCGGCGGCGGCAGGAGCAGCGCGGGCCGCTGTTGCCACCTGCTGCCGGAGCGGGGGCCGGGCCCGGGCGGGCAGGCGGCGAAAGGCCCGCGGTGGGCGAGGGGCCGCGGCCGCCCCGCCCGGGGAGGAGCGCGGAGCGGGCCGGAGCGAGGGCGGCGAGCAGAGCGGCGGCGCAGGTAAGCCGCGCTCAGTGGGAAAGGCCAGGCTGTGTGAGTGGTGTGCGAGTCATCTGACGTGTGCAAAGGGAAGATTTGTATTTGCTGGTGGCGGTGATGGCTGTTCTGAGCGGTACAGAAAGACAATGTAAGGCTGTACATGGTGCCATGAAGGTTTACACTGCGGAAGAGAGGCAGCGAATACTGAAGGGAGCATGAGCCGGGTAAGATAAAGCAATTGGGTGTAAAAGATGCACCGCGTTCTCTATGGAGGAAGTTCTCGCCTGAGCAGAAAAAACACAGTCAGTGCCCTCTTACAGATCACTCGACAAGTAGCTTAATGACTCCTAAATGGTATTTTACCATTTCTGTGTTAGCCAGTATGCTACATAGCAAACATACTAGTGTAAGGTTTAATCTGTTAGCCATATTTCTTGAGTCATCATTCGGATCTAAATTTTACAGCATGAGAGTTATTACTCAAAGCTGCTAGGCAGATTTACCAAAAGAGGAGTAACGCTTGATTACTTCTGAATAAAGTACAAAGCAATTGGAGACGCCAAACCAGCCTTGAACAAAATTTCTCCGTAGGATAAAGGAATAAGATTTTAGGAGTAACACCATAAATTTAGATTTTACAACCAGAAATTACCTTAAAATGAGAGGGTAGTTGAAAGGCAAAAGAAAGGTTGAAGGTCAGAAGAAAGCTTAAAGACACTTCATTCGAGCCAAAGAGAAAAATGTCAACTGATAAATTGAAATGCACCCTTTTCCCTCCCTTGTCTTTTCACAACCTCAATATTCCTACTCCTCAAAATCACATATATGATTAAGAGCATGGGGGACACCTGTAAGTAAAAGATACTCTTCAAAAGTGGAAATCAGCCAAAGAAAACAAAAAGCAAAGTCTTGGAAGTTCAATGTAAATTGGACAAGAACAAAAAGGTCTAAACCCAACTTGCCAAATGCATAAAGCTAGTAATAAAACTGCTTTCAAACACATCACATGTATGAAGCCTGACAGGAAACAGCTGGGCATGCAGATAATCTGGCTGTAAAAAGAGCACAAAAGAAAGAGAATCAGAAAAGGTTAAACAAACTATTTGTGTAAGGATTCGCAACCACAGCAAAGGTCAAAGGGGTTCTCAGACAAGTTCTGTACTTCTCAAGTGATATGTTTTGGGCACTGTCTCAAATTGAACAAGCTTCAGAACATACAAATAAAAATTTTAAGAGGATTCCTCAGATGATACTGGAAACTACAAACCAGTCAGTCTGATTTTTATGCCTGGAAAATGCCTATGTGTTATACAAAAGAACAGTTTTTTTAAAGAACCTACAGTTAAACCAATGTAATGAGAAAGCAAGGTAACACAATTTGTAGTAGGCACTCACCAGCAACAAATTAAGTAGAACTGCTTAAATGAAGTGTCCATAAAGGTCCAGGTAAGAATGATCAGGTTAATACTGAATTTGCAAAAGGCTCCTCACTATCCTTTCCTAAGGTTTCAGAAAAAATTATGCTGTTGTGGTATAAGGGGAAACATCTACTTGGATTAAAAGCACCCACACCAACAGACCAAAAAAAAAAAAACAAAAAAACCAAAACCGGCTCAAAAAAAAAAAGGAAAATCAATTACCAAAATGAAAGATTAGATTACAAAGCAGGAATTTGCATCAAAGAAACCTTACTAGGGCTTCTACACGTTTCTGTGCTGTTTAATGAACATGAGGCGTCAATGTTCTCAGATAGTAACACCACTTAACCTGACCACAAATACATATAAAAGGATCTCTGAAATATTCAGTGTCGATACATGCAAAGTAGATGGGGAAAAAAAGAACCTAGACTGTAAAAGTCCTGTGAGGCATACAGAATTAGCAACTGCTGCCCCAAAAAGACACTCAGGTATTTTGCATAGTTCCCTGAAATCATAAGCTCAAAAATTAGCAGCAGTGAAGGGCAAACAAATTATCAGCAACAATACAGAAAAAACAGATCCTGAAAGAAGATGATGTGACCTCTTGGCACAGGCATGTGGTGCACAAAGACCTTGAAAGCAGCATGCAGAGCCAGCCAGTCACCTCCTCGGCAAAGGGAAGAAAAGAATCATGGACTGTACAGTGGTGACAAGGAAAAATCAAAAGAACAGATAACATGTATGAAAGCTGTTCCAAATAAACTTTACAGTTTGAAGCCAACTACTGCAATAAGATAAGAGATCTATAAAAATTGCATAATGAACAGTCAGTGCCACTCACCTTAGCTTTTTAGGATTATCTACAGAGGAGATCAGGTACAAAGCTAGATAAATCTCCACTTAGCCAAATATAACATATAGTTTTACTTGATTTTTTAAAAAAGGACACAAAAATACAGTTAAAGGTACACTGAATGTTAAAAAAAAAAATTACCTACATTTCTTGCAATGATACTAAGGCCCCACTTTAACTACCTTAAATTTAAATTGTTGGTAGCTACATACATATTAATGGCATTAATTTTTGAATGAAATTTTTTGTGTGTATAAATGTATCCAAACCTAACAAACGCATGAAAAATCACAAACTCACTCTTGTGGCAAACATCATTTTCTTTTGAACCTTTTCATGTAATGAAACAATATGTAACTGTATTATTGGAAGTTCCTAATTAGTAGGGATTTCTTAATTTTATAGTGCTAGAACCTCTATGTATTTCAGCAATGTATAAGAGTATGACCAGTGGAAAATACTTCTACTATAAAAACCCCACAAGGTGCTCTTTTTCTCCCTCCTGCCACTCAATTTTTACATGGTACTAATGCTAACAGGACACATTTTGTTGCTTTTATGCTAAGAATTTTGTAATCATCGCTGTTCCGAGTGAGTACACAGTTCACAAACGAGAAATAACAGTACAGGTTTTTTTTGTTTCTTTTGGGAGAAAAGAATGTTCCTGAAACTTTTTTCTAACTTTCAAAGTTAGATCAGACTTGCAAGAAAAAAACTCATGGTTTCAACTGAAACAACAGACAGACAATGCAGTTACATTTTCTTACAAAACTTCTCTATTAAATTACATTCATATGTTCTTAAAAACAACAAAAATCTTTAATTATCCAAACTGTCCAATGTGGCAGTAATTAGTCTCTGTTGATTCAAATATTGTGAAGAAAATTCAATTTTATTCTCCTCATTTAAAACTCTAAACTTTTGTTCTTTAAAATGAATTTTGTACTATAGGAAAAAAATGTAATAATTCTATAAATTTGGTTTTAGGTGTAAATATCATATGACATGAACGATTCAGTTCCTTTCTTGATGATACTAATATTTCTGTCCTTCATTATCTTGATTTGCTTTACAAATATTAAAAGAAAATTACAATTGAAGTAGTATTTTCCCCCATAACAGCTGTTGCTATTGCTTTATTGACCTGTGGTCGCTGTAAACTAAGTCTCAGAAAATCTTAGAAGATAGAAAGAGGACTAGAGACATGCTTTAAATATTAAGGGCTGATTTTCAGGACCTTTATGCACAGCTCAGGGGTTTATGCCACATCCATTGGAAATTCCACTGGAAACTCCACCTGTCCCCAAGGACTTTTGTTGTCCTTCCTCCCCAGCTGTGTCTGACAGGAGGGGCTGGACAAGGGGTCCAAAATCACTGCTCAGTACAGAACACCAGGGCATAGTAACAGCATCAAAGCAATAGAAACAGCTGCAGCAATACATATGTGTGACACTCTAACTCTAGCCTGTATTCTATAAGAAGTCATTTTGTGTATTCCTTTGGTTTTTTTCCCAATAACTCCCCAATAGGAGCTTGTAAAGTAATTATAAGTGAATAAAATGTCTAATCATACAATCTAACAGCAGGCATAATGTCATGAATATGGTAGCACATAGTCAAGAAAAAGCAGAAAAATAAGACTCAGAAATATGGTGTCAAGTTTTGAGGAGGTGCTAGTACACTAGACAAAAAACTGCTGAATCAAACCAATCTTTACTTGGGTGTGTCCCTGAAGAATCTAAATAGATATTGGAAAGGCTATCAGAGGGGAAGATTAAACCATAATATTTTAAGGTGTTGGGTGCACACACAGTATTTGATTAGGAAAAAAGAGAAACATTTAAACAATTTCAGTTCTCTACTAATAATCCTGAAGTGACAGGTAAAGTTTCAGTCTTTGTAATTAACCTGCGCTGATTGCAAGAACCTTATTTATCATTAATTTAATAAAGAAATACAGACTTGCCGCCTAACAGAAAAAAAGGTCTGGATATCTTCCCACAGCCAACATTTCCCTCCATAACTTAAATGGACGGGAAATAACAAATTTGGGCAGCAGGTTATTTATACTAGTAAACAGTGGCCAGATTACTTGATCCAATCATGTATTGTTTTGTTCTCATAACTTGTTTAATCAGTAAGATATCTTTTAGGAAGGTACTGAAATATTTGTGAAGAATGGGCACTATAAGTTTCAAATGATTGTGCTTGTGCACACATGTTGTTAGGATAAATTATACTCAGATCACCTCTGGACTCTCTATGAAATAAACTAATCCTGAGTCTTATTTTCCAGATGTTCAGTCATTCTTTCCTGATTGCTTTCCATTTCGAGCATCTCTTGGACCTAGACTACGTGATAGTTCAATACATTAATAATCCTGCTCAGAACATTGAAATAATGCAGTGTAAGAGACATTTTATCGTCCTTCTCTAGTGAAATAATTTAGTTAAACCTCTGACAAAGTCTCTCCTTGCTCATCATTTCTACATGTCAGCATGAGTGGTCAAGCAAGCAAACAAACCCAAGATTCTCTTTTTTTTTGTCACTAATAGTCAAATACGAAGAATAAACATTTCTTTTTCTTGCTAACATTTAAAGTATGTTCACTTCCTGCATATCTGTCTTGAATTCAGGGCAGAAGATATGTTTGTTGTTCAAAGTTGTACTGCTGTTAGCAGAACAAACTCTGCTGCAGATATAACTTCTAGTAAAATAAGCTCAAATTCAGATTACAGGGTTGGTT